CTAAGCAATCGAAAACAATCCATAATTACCCATAATTATACATAATTTATTTTTTATAACTCTCATATCCCTCATACTCATCTCTAATCTCCCTCCAAAATTAAATACATAAAAGCCATGTGCAGTGCCACCAATATGCTATAACTTTTGGGATGAAATATTAGGGATGTTAATGGATCGAAGTGGGGGCGGGGAATGTAGTATACATCCCCTTATTCGCTTAAAAAAATTACGTTCATTCTCGGTCCACCCCCGTTAACGGTTATAATTTTTATCCCCATTTTCGTCTGCGTGTAAATTTTTAATCCCCGCTCGCGTCCCCACTTCCCCCGTACCCACCCTAGCTCAAGCCTAAGCCTAACCCTAAGCACAAGTCCAAGCCCAAGTTCAAGCTAACATAGTCTAAAATTCTAAATAAATCTAACATTTTAAATAATCTAACAACATTTTAAATAATCTAATATAATTTGACACAACATAAAATAGCACAACATATTCCAACATAACATAAATAACAAATGTCCAAAATACTACTTGAATATTTGTAATGGGAAAACTTTTCTGTCATATAGTTTCACACCTGTAATTTAATAAAAAAAATAAAATATAAAAAAATATAATAATTACATAAAAAATATTTTGTATTTACTAATAAAATTGATTAGTTGAAATTGAAAAATTATCAACTCAATCATCTCTTAACACTATCGGTAATGGTAAAATCTACTTCTTTAACAACATTTTCGTATATTAATAAAAGAAAAAAAAATTAGATTCTTCCAAAGAGAAATTTTCAACTAAAATGATATACCTAATCATCAATATCAAAATTCTCTAATAATGTGTACCTCTTCAGGCCCGTCGAAGTAGATGAACCTACCAAAAAAAAAAATAAATTAGTCATACTTTACCCCCCCCCCCCAAAAAAAAAAAAATTATGATGCACATATAAATAATATTTCATTATCTTGTTCTTCAGCACATAACCAACTTTGATAGCACATTAAAACATCTACTGTAGTTGGAAGATGTTTATTGCAATATGGACTGATAACCCTTCCATTTGTGCTAAAAGCAGATTCTAAGGCAACGATAGAAACAGGAATAACAAAAATATCTTTAGCAATCATTTGAAGTAGGAGATACTTATGACCACTTGTCTTCCAAAAAGATAGTATATCAAAATTTGAAATTCTTGACATCATACCATCTTCTAAGTAACGATCTAACTCCCACATGCTTTTGTTATGTCTCTTATTTGTATAAATTTATCAAAATTAGAGAGATCATCAATTAATGTGCATTTGAAATCAATATCTGATTGAAGAGAATAGTAGAAGGTTGCGGTTCATAATCACTTCCTTGCCTCGCTTCATATTCACCTACCAATTTCAAGCAAAACTCCTTAATCTTCATCACTTCATTTAACGCTTCCACACATCCATACATTTTCTCATAATAATACTCCAAAATTCTCAACTTATACCGTAGATCTAAAACAGTGGCTATTCCTATAACACCATGAATCACACTCCAATATTTGTTAAACTTTTACAATATATTCAAGGCCATATCTTTTATCACATCTTTGGGACTTTGAAACCACTTAAATATTTCTACTCTTATCCCACAAATAGTTGGAAAGTATACATTGGCAGTAGGATACTTTGTACTTGAAAATAATTTTGTTGCACTATGAAACAATTCCAATTTTTCACAAATCTCTATTGCCACCTCCCAATCATCTTCAGTTGGACAAATCTTGTAATGAGAATCTCGATATTCTAAGCAAGCAAACTCATCTCTATAAATTAGATTAGTTTCAAGCATGAGAAAAGTAGACCTCCATCGAGTCTTAACATCAAGAGCAAGCTTCTTGTTACTTGGAATATGTATCTGATGAGCTACCTCTTCAAATTTTTGCACTTTCTTGGGAGACGTTGTCCAATAAGCTACACTTCCACAAATTCTTTCAATACCATCTCCAATCACATTCAAATCATCTTGGACAAATAAGTTGAGAATATGTGCATAACAACTTATATAGAACAATTGACCATGTAATATTAGTGAACCAAATGGAAGTTTATCCAACAAAATAGCCATAATTGCATCATTAGTGGTACAATTATCCTCGGTCAAAGTTATCAACTTTTTATTAAGATTCCAATCGAAAAAGTAATCCATCAAGCACTCCACAAACACTTCCTTGGTGTGTGGATAAGACACATATAAAAATCTAAAGATAATAAATAACAAATGTTAATAGAAGATAATTAGTACCTTATAATAAATAACACATGCTAATGAAAGATCATTAGTACCTTATAATTCGACTTTGCAATGTCCAAGAATTGTCAATAAAGTGTGTGGTGATTGCCATATATCTTTTTCTTTGATTGTCTGAGGATCACATATTTGTAGTAATAGCAACTCTACTTTATATTTTTTGCAACAACTTCATTGTCTTCTCCTTTTCAGTTTTGTAAATTTAAAGATATCATTTCTGAGAGTGTTTCGGGATATCACTTTGAACAATGGTTGAAGAGTGTGACAATATTTTTGAAACCCGTGGTGCTCAACCATACTAAGAGGATATTCATGCAATATAATCATATTGGCAAGATTCCTCCTCCCCACCTTTTGAACAAATAGCCAGTTTTCCATTGTTTTCTCGGTATCCTTCTTTGATTGGTTTAATGCCAATAAACATACTTCAAATTTTTATATTTCTTCATCAGACAACTTTTAAGATGGTCATGCAAGTGGCTAGTTCCATTCTTAGCACCACCAACAAGTAATTTCTTACATTCATTACACTCGGCCTTTAACTTTTCATCAACTGTTTTCCTTTTGAAATGATCTCACAATTGATCTATGCCTCTCTGTTTCACCAAGAGTCATTGGAGTTGAGTTGGTAGATTGATTTTCATTAATAGAGATTGGAAGTTGGTTGCTTTCACCCGGTGTTGCAGAAGTTTCAGAAGTTGACATATTATTTCTCTCTTCTTCTCCTTTCATTGCTTGTAATCAATTACATGTAAAAGTCAACTAAATGTCTACAATCACCAGCAAACCATACACTAGAAACAATAACCTGATCAAGTGTTATGTTACCCTCAAGAAACAGCATGATAACCTCTTTCTTGTTATTCACAAGTTACACAACTGTTAATTATGCAACTGATCAAGTGTTGTGTTACACAATAAGTATAAAAATAGCATGATTAATATATATTAGATCAAACAAAATCCCTCAAAATTATCAAACATGTATCCAATGAATCTCATTGGTGCAATTCAATTATATATAATGAACAACAAGAATTCTTAATATTTAAAACCTACTATCAAGAATCCTCAACATCACATTTCATAGCAGCAGTATGTAATAACTAATATGATTTATCCACTAAGCCACCTATAAATTATCAATGTATATGAAATTATTAATTCATTCATGGGATGTCAAGGACATTCATAAGGATTGTATAATTATTAAAATGGGTAATATGATTATCAATGAATATGAAATATGATAAATGTTGAAATTAAAATAGGCCAAAATTTATATAAATACAAATTAACTGAATCTGAAAATAGACAAAAAAAAAACTACATATAACATAATATAATAGCACACACAGAGAGACAGAGACAAAGATCTGATACTAGATGATGTGCCTCAGATTGTCGACTGAAGGATGAAGATTGAGCTGTTGAGTGCAGCGATCAGCGAGCAAGTGTCCTGGTCTTCGATTGAGCCTTCAATTGGTCTTCGATTGAGCTGTTGAGTGCAGCGATTAGCGAGCAAGTGTTTGTGTGTGTGTGTGTGTGTGAGAGAGAGAGAGAGAGAGAGACTAGAGATGTGAGGCTATGAGGAGAAGTCAGCATTGAGGAACAACACAGGGCAAAGGCAAAAAAAACTCCAATGGATTAGGAGAGATTACCTGTCCTGGTCAGGCGACACCTAGAGACGATGGAAACCTACAATGAGAGAAAGACGATGGAGGGATGAGACAAACGATGGAGGGAAGGGAGAGACGATGGAAAGAGAGAGAGACAGAACGACGGAGGCGAGCAGCAGATAGAGTAGACTCAGGAGAGTAAGTTAGGGCTTGGGAATATATATATATAGCGGGAGCGGGGCGGGGGTAAGGGTAAATTCATCCCTGCCTTCATCCTCACGTGGGTTTATATGGGTATTCTCGTATACGTCTACCGTTTACTATGTATAGTCTATTCCTAGTTCAAACGAGATAAATTTTGATGAATACCTATTTTTTTTTGGTCTACTGTCATCCCTAAATATCATTGGTACCATTGGCCTAATCCACGCCATAGCTTGCCTGACTGCTCGCCTCACAGTGCAGGCCATGACATAGTTATACCCATTTTAGTATAAAAAACTTTACTTCATACCAACCCCAAACGAAAAAGAAAAGTGATACTAATATTTATAATATAAAACATGTCAAATTTCAATAAACTTATTCAATGGTCTCAAATAGACTCATTTAACTGCCACCAACTTCTCTCTCAAAACCATTAACATTGAATTTTTTTCTTATCCAAATCTATCACTTCTCATTTACATTACACAGTACTTTCAGGCACAAGTTACTCCTAATTACGTTCAATTAAGAAGTAAAACAGTGATGCTGAAAAGTTGAATTTCCTCGTCAGTGGCTAAAAACTCAGATTTCTTTACTCAATGTTTGAGTTACTCAATATTTGAGTTGAGTTCTATATCTACGATAACTCATTGGGACTAAAGATACTCTTTAGCACCTAAAACACACAGTAAAATCTTAAATTCAACCCCAATGTAGGTTCGATGATGTCCTTTGTAGATAGCTGTGTAGTGCTGAGGAATAATACTCCCTAACAAATATATGAAATAGCATATTTATATATACATTTCGAGTACCCAAAAAAAAAAAAATCCAAGTGTTCCAAAATTACACAAACACTTGATTCAAAAAAACAAATAAAAATTGCAAACTCACAAAAAGGAATCGGAAGCTCCACTAATCACCTATCAGAATTCTTTGTGATAGCAGATCTTGCTTTTCAAACCAATTATCCTGTAACATACCAATCGAACCCATGCTGATAGTTCAAAGCAAACATAAAATCTTTGTAGTCTCTTGCTCTTTTCCACTTCATCTGTTGTTAGAATTCTACAAATGTTGCAACCAAAAACACAGGAATGATACATTTATCAGGCAGAAACCAGCAATTTTCACCCCCCAACGCCCCCACTTATATTCCCAAATTAAGCTTAGTATACCGATAATTATGAATGGCAAGTCTCAGAACATAATAACATAGAGATTTAAATATTGCAGGACAACCTTACAGAAACAATGGAACGATCCTTCTATTTACATCTATAAGCGCACGTAAAGTTATCAAGCTCCAGACACATTGATCTCCTGGCAGCGTACAATACCACCTGCTCCTCCATAGCACAACCATCTCTCACTGCCCTTGTTCATATTCCATCTAACCCTGTGCATTGCAACGATTTTGGGAGGAAGAACTTCAATTTCATCCCTAACCTCCCCCTTCTCTTCAACCTGATTATTCTCTGGCTCTTCATCTCTGCATACCAGTGCTTGTTCAGCTTTCTGTTTTTTCTTACTGCTTGCTTTAGATCTTGGTGCTTGTTTGCTCTTCTGAGCCACCAATGTGTTGTCAGATCCAGATTCCATTCCAGGATCATCCCCATAACACAGAGCTGTATTAGGACGGAAGGTTAGTTAAACATTCTCTATATAAGATGGTAACATGAAGCAAAAATTGTGACGCAAAATGCAGACGCACAAAGATTGTGAGATGTCAAAACTTACCTAAAGGTTGTTCAGCTAATGATTGACCTTTTGCCATTTGCTCCTTTGCTCTTTTCTCTTGATTGGATACGGATAAAAACCCACGTATGGTCCTCGGGGTATCACCCCACTCATTCAGTGACTTCTTCATGGGGAATGGAATGTCAGGCAATGGAGTGATCACTGTAAGAGCTGATTCTTCCTCAGTGAGTGATCCACAGAGAAAATGTGGAGCACGATTTCGCAGAGGATCTTTCTCCACTGCTCTAGTTGTAAGCTGATCAAAAGGTAACGCAAACAGGTTTGATTATGTAAATTTAAAAAACCCCACACCACCAGGTTGACAAGTCAAGATCTCAATGCCCAAACTCCCTTCTGCAACTTCTCGATAATATTAAAAGCTGAAGAGAAGTGTGGCTTGTAGCTAAAGAACAACACCAACTGCTATTTTTCAGCAAACAACTCAAGTTTGCAATCAATTTCAGACCATAAGAGGCATATTAGCCAGTTACATAATTAAGCCGCTAAATCCTGTGTGCCATGCTTTTTCCATACCCATGTAAGTGTTCTAGCACGTTAAACGGACATGTTGAATGTCTAAAAGTGGTAAAGAACTAGCATGAGATGGACTCTGCTAAACTGACGAGATTAGAAAGCTTTAAAGCTATAATTAACTTCCAATATTCCACCATGAAAATCATTGCAGAAAGTCAGTAGGTCCAGGAATACATCATTATGCTCCTATTTAATTTGCAGGTATCATGAAATGGAACCAGGATCAATCCCCCTATTTGAATCCATGTGACAAGTAATAGGACGTTTTATAAAGTAAAATGTTAATTGATATTCAATGAGAACTCGGATGAATGGCTTGCATCAAAATTGATAGCGATGAGATCAAACCACACCCACCTGGAAACGTAGAACATTACCATCCGCACTACAATATGCAACCATTCCTAAAATTGACAATAAAATGTGTCAATAGCTGCAGAATGCAACAATAAAAACTTTAAATACAACATCACAGTTCCAAATCCCACTATGATTGCCTAAAGAAAAGATCACGTCAGAAAATTTCTCTATTCATCATTTCTTTCTGTATAACGCCCAACACAATCTTCAAATCTTCCCATGCCTAAACCATGTTTTAGATGTGTACCACCCCAACTAATTTACGCCCCTAAGGAGTTTGAATTTCAATAAGGAAGCTCCTCAAACACCCATGAAGTGCAAACATGGTTATTGGAAACAATTATGAAACAAAATGGACAAATTAATGAAACAATATTCATATGGTAGAGAAACAGTACGTATATAAGAAACCTAGTTTCTAGATTAAGAGCAAGTTACGTGAGAAAATTGGGGTCTATGTTGCATGGACACAAAAACAAGTCTAAACAGCAAGGTAAAAAAGACAGAAACAATGAAGTCACAGACACATACCACTCAAGCTACACCCGGTGGTAACACAACCCTAGTGCTAATAATCAGAATCATGAATATTTTTGGGTGATGACCTAATACTGGTTCACAACTCCTCCATGTCAATGCTGAGATAACACTGAATCTGTGGCCAGGATTATCCTCAAATATTGCACAAAATCAACCCGTTAGTGGACCAACAAATCATTGTTTGCACAATTAATTCAATACTATTCCACTAACAATACAGAAAAGAGAAAAGGCAGAGAAGTTTCTCAAATTTCTGTAAACATTGGTCAATGTACACGCATTTCCATAAAAAACTGATGTAAAAACGCAAAGCGGATCCAAATTTACAAGGAAAGAAGAGAGGAAGGGAAGTGATGGAAAACAGAGAGGGGGTGGGTGGCCCCAAGGTGTTTTTTTTGGGCGCGTGTGTTTTAGAGGGGGGGGGGGGGGGGAGAAATGTGGTTGCAGCATCAATATAGGAAATTTCATGTATGATCATTCTAACAGATTGCCACATTAATTGCACCATTAGTATGCTGTAAAATTACAGTATGTAATTGCAATGTCATATTTAAGCAAAGAAGCTACCTGTGAGCCGTGAAACTTGAACACTCCATATTGCCAATGATGAACAATAATAACTGTGGAATCCCTGTTGCTGTGTTCCAACAAAAGGTTTTCCAGTCACGGGGGTATCATATGCAGCCTTCACTAAGCTAAGGATTCTTAAAGTACCATCATCAAAGGACACTACGACGCATCTAGAAGCAGAGAGTTCCAACATGAGAGGAAAGGAAATTTATCGAAGGATAATGATCTCCACTTAAGCAAGTCAAATAGTACCTTGGATCCGGAAGCCAATCCAAACTATATATGACTCTCTGGACTGGATTAAGGTCCCACAAGGGACGAAATGGATCACTGCAAGCAACACAAGGTTCTGTAACCATAGAGATGATACAGTGCTAATTAACAAATGTAAACAAGTTTAATGGGCATGAGTGGATACAATCTTCAATTGAAATACCTGCTCTTGTCTTGACACTTTCTTGTAAACAAGAACACATAAAGCAGCCTCAAAGAAAAATTATATGCAAGGTTTACATTAAGGACCTGAAAAGGGATCTATTTTAACTTTTTAAGCTTGTCCCATCAAACCAATAGTTAATAATTATTACCATAAGTTATGTCCAATTTGCATCCTGTATGAATGTTAAAAGAATTCCTATCGACATAATAAAGCCAATTTCAAAAGCATATGGTTTTCATCTTTCTAACAAGATGAGAAACGCATAAGCAATATTATCACCATCAGTACCATCACAGATGGAAATGAAGGAGAAACAGCCATATCATAGATGCAACAGTAAACAACTCCAAGCAGTCATACTTACCGTATATCCCAAAATTTTAGGCCTCTATGCCCAGCAGTGACAATAACATTTGCACCCTCAGGATCACTGCAAGTTTTTATCAAAAAGAAAAGAGACTCAATATAACTCAATCAAAAAATGAAAGATAAATGAACAACAAAATAGAGAGAAAGACCTTCAATAACTCCGGTTGCGTGACATTCAGAGTTTTCATATACTACAATATGTATTAAAAACCAAGACGAAAAGTCCGACAAGAATGATAAAGGTCATCATGTCACATCTGACACAGATCAGCCAATATTCAATGCCCACCAGAATGTAACGCATCCCATATAGCAACCAATTCATGGAAAAGAATCCACAAAGAACAAGTTTTAAAATTTTTTAGTGAATGGAGTCCAATTCATCTAGCATCACCAACCTTTCAAATGGTGCCCAAGCAAGTGCTCTTATAGGAACTGTATCTGCACTGAAGCAAAGCAAAGGCCTTGTATCTGCAGATCAAAAGGTGCAAACATTATGTTCAACTATTAGTTTCATTATAAGCATCACTAAGGCAATAATTTAGTTTCATTATATGCGTCACTAAGGCAATAATTTAGTTTCATTATAAGCATCACCAAGGCATAATGCATAAAAACTTCAACTTCCACATGCTCGCTGTCACATGGACTCTATACTCCCAAAGGTAGTATATTTCTATCTTGCGGGTTGCCAGCACAATATTTACAAATCCAGCCATCCAAGTTCTTATGTAAGAACATATCCAGGGAAAGAAGACATCACAAAAAGGGACCATAGGATGTCAATACCTTTAGATGAACCAGTTGCCGAAAACTTCCACAAGGCAACCTGAATGTACAGAATTTTTTTAGTTCTAAATACCAAAAACTACAGCATGACAAACAAGGAATCATAAAACCAAACAGAAACTAGGATGAAGCCCGGCAAAGCAACAGACTTTCATTAAATGATCTCCTATCAGAGGACATATTCATGATAACATTTTTAAAATTGTATGTATAAAGGAAAAATAACCCCAAAGAGGGAAAAGATCAAAGAAAATTGATAAGTAATCAAAGAAAAATGACAGGTCCCCTCTCTTCAACCAACATAAAATATAGAGTTCCAATAGAACAAAAACTAGCATCAACTTGAAGAGAATAAACCAAAGAAAAAGAAACTTAAAATTACCATTCCATCATGACATCCGGCCAGAATGAAATCATGGAGAGATGATGACGACCACTCCATTGTTAGAGGAATGCTGGGTAGCAAAATGGTAGCAGTAAATAAGCCAGACATAGAATGAAATTAATTATATAAGAAGCTCATTAAAAAAACTTATAGAATGAATATTAACGTGGACATTTTCTAAAAATCAAGGAAACTCAATCAGCTGCTGAAGAAGATGAATCTGGCTGGCAGAAAATAGCAAAAACTTATAATTTATTCAATCAAGTCCATTTCAGAAGGTAAAATACATCTGATGAACCCTACCAGAACAGAATGTCAATATTGTAATAAGCATAAAACTGGCACCGGAGAGATGTGGAAACTACATAATTAGCAGAGAGTGGAGCAATTAAAATTCATGTGTCCAAGTCATAGCAGTTGAACACATGTAAAAACAACTTTATCAAACCCATTATGTATTCATGAAGAACAAATGTTCGAAGCTCACAAGAAAGCTGTATCTCGTTAAACAACTGTTCCCAACTTAAAAGCGGTGACAAATACTAAGGATTCACAAGACATGGTGGAATTCACAAGTCAAATCGTCATCTACAATATTAAGATTGGTACTCAAGTTCCCTTCTTCATACATTTGCTGAAAGCATGATCTTCTTTCATGTGGGAACACATTACTACATACTGAAAAAATGTTGTTACGCTTACTTAATCCAAACTTAGGGCAAAACACAATTCACTACTAGAAGTTAAAACCCAACTGTTGGGCAAGCCAAAGGAAAAAAAGAATAGTTTGTTCCAAGTTATCAGTGAAGTCCTTTTTCAGTAAACTGGTTTCTGCAACAAATTAGCAGAATATTTTAGTGTCAAACTAGCAGGATACATTTATCATTAGTCCAGAAGTTAATTCTTATATCTCTATATATTGGACTTTGGACAAGAGAAAAATGGATTTCCTGTGATGTGAAATTATAGATAAAAATGTTTATTGTCAACTTTCAAATTACCTTTTTCTATCACCATACTTCAACATTGAACATCTGAATACTGGCTCCAATTTAATAAAGCGAGGATCGCTACCCTCCTTTTGGCATGCAGAATAAATAACTTTAACTGTACGAGGATAAGGAACCTCCCACCTGCATTTGATTGTGTGGTCACGAGACATTATGTTAGAGCAATGTGCATGGTGTTCAATCAAAGGGGTAAACAAGTCCTGATATTGTTTGGCTTTCTGGATAGGGAAAGAAAGAGGAGGGGGGGGGTAACATTACTGCATGTTCATAAGATGGTATGACTAGCTAAGAAAACAGATATTGCTCAATGGACACAACTCGTCTAGCTTTAGGTGTAGACAAGTGAGACAAAGAAACACACATAAATACACATGCTTTGCTAGTTCATGGGGAAACAAAACAGTTCAAAAGGCGAGTGGACCACAAAAAAAGAACTATAATGCTTGACACTCCTTAATTTAGTTCAAAAGAATCATTAGAGATAACAATTTTGGATAAATTTTAACTAAGATCACTACCGGACATGTCTGCTCAATCAGGGCAGTAGAATAGTTTCCAAGACAAAGGGCAAACCTCTAGCTTTATTCATGTTAGAGCATCCAACACAAAGGCAACTGGTAAAAAGTAGAGTGGCCCCTCAACTATATGAACAAACCTTGTGTCTACTTAATTTTTCAATGTGGAATATCTCTCTTCACACCCTCCCTTTCCTGCAACCTAGACTCGCATGTGGGCCAATAAAATAAACTAAAACAGACAAACAGACCTGGGCTGAACTCTGAAATAAATTGATAAACAGACTGCAAAATTCAACTAGGTGAAGACTTAGCCCACTAACTACCCAAGGCCAACCTCTGATATCATGTTAGAGCATTCAACCCAAAACCAATTGGCAATGAGTGGAGTGGCCCTCAACGATAAGAACAAACCTTGGGTCTACTTAATTTTTCGATGTGGGATATCTCTCTTTGCAATTCACAAATAAATGCCTAGTCTAGCATTCAAACCACAATTATCAATCTTGAAGAATATTAACTAAGGCACATTAACAATGAGTAGTTGAGGATGGCAAAGAACATGAGGGTTATGTATCTGGATGAAGAAATGATGCAGCAGTTACAACTTGGAGAATTTCCTGTGGCATCAAATTTATGAACAAACTAATGCTTAAAAAGGGAACTACTAGCAAGTGGATCGCAAATTACTCAAATAAATTAGTAGGAATAATTAAGATTCAATAATATATCCAACTATGTATTTATCATTCATAATTGCGGACTTGTCATACAGGATTTGGTGTTTGCTGATTGGAAGGGCTGTAAGAAAATGTAAAACCAAAGATCTAATAGAGAATATGGCTAGTGAAAACTGAAGCATATCATGAAGCCCACCCCAAATAGATCAAGGCTTTGTAAAGGTGAGTTGGATAGCTGTAGGATACAAAACATAAGGCCCTTCAATCATAAATCATTTCCAACGATATATAAGGTATAAACATACACAAGAAAACTACCAAGTATGAAGGCAAGCTTACATGTGGCTGGCATCGAAAAGTTGGGAAGGGTATACAGGAGACCGTTAAGTAAAAAACTATTTGGCAAAATGAAGGAGTTAGCAATCCATTTTTTTTCTTCTTTAATCTCCCCCTTTTCTTGGGTTTGCAGCAATGGAAGATAGAGCATTTCCATCACTATTTATGTAATAGGCCAAAGAACTGACAAAATGACACAGACCACAAACTTTAGTCTAAGTAACTACATAGAAAGCGAAAGAAGAATAAATTTTTGTTCCTATTCCCTACTTTTCTTAGTCAATTAATAGACCTTAAAAACCCTTCAAAAAGGGAAAGTAAGTTCACTTTAACAAAGCACTTCCTTTATCTGTGGACACATCCATCATTTTAAAAATCTCCTTGATTTGTGATCTAGTGAGAAAAGAAAAAGGCTTCAAATCTCCTACTGTTTCCTTTCCTTCTTCGGTATGACTTGGAAATAATAAGAAAATGGAATTTCATATCCCACTCAGACACAAAGGAGGAACTACAATAACAATATCAGAAAGTCATAAGAAAATATATTGATATTGGATTTCTGGATTGAGTCCATTTCGACGTCATGCTGGAGCTATTTCAAATTTGGAAGGAATGAAGTTCTTTCTAGAAGGGTTCAACATGGAATTCTTGAGACAAAAATTTGTAACTCTTGATCGAGTTTAGAAATGCTAGACCGGCAGAACTTTTTAGAACATTATCTCCCTGGTCCCTATGAAGGGCATGAGGCCAAAGAATTACGAACAGCCTAGAATCCTTGAATTAATTTTCCAAGTATAAGACAAAAGTTTGACATGAAAGTCATGTGATCATAGTAAAAAGGCCCGAACTACTGCTTTGTAAGATGAATATTGATGGAAAATAGAGGATGAATATTTGAAGGCAAAAGCTTTTTATCATTCTAAATTTTCTACAGTTGTTTCTTCAAGAGACTAAAGGTACATGGCACAAGGATAGGTTTTCCATTTCCTTTATGCTTGTAAGCAACCCGACACTCGATCATTCAGTAACGAAGAAAATGAACTACGCAATGGGTTTGCAAATAAAATGGAATGTTCAAAACGACATGCAAAACAAAAAACATGAAATCTAGAGGTCTGAAAGACATGCAATCATCCAAAAAAGAGAAATGAAAAAATTGAGAGATATCTCACACTTCTAGAGCTCCATTCCCAAGTAACACAGCAAGATAACCCATTCTATGCTTGGATTCAGTATCACAAACATTAGAAGGTCGCCATTTCACATCCCAAGCAACTTTTCCATTGTGTGCCAAGCAAAGCACAACTCTAGGCAAAGCAAGATCCTCGGGAATAGGGTATGCAGTAGGATCAATTTCTGAAAAACCATGGTTAGCAGCACTCTTGCTTAACCCTGGAGGTTCCTGCCCACAGCTTGAGGACATTTGCGGACTCATGAGGGACAACTCTGCATTTTCCTTTTGTGTTAGCAAAGGTAGATCATTACGACCAGTTTGACCTTTTTTCCTTGCCTTTCCTTTTAATTTTTTATTTGCTGAAGATGTCAGTGCTGAATTATCCATGGCCACTCCTTTGCTGGAACGTTTTCGTTTACTACCAGTGTCTTCTTTTGTGATATGTTCATGTGTATCCCCAGAAAACCCCTCTACAGGGAGCAATTTGTTAGAATCTCCAGGGAATTGAACAGCAAGAGGGACAAATTGGTTGTTGCAACCTAGGTTGTCCACAGATTCATTTACTGGCTTCTTTCTAGGCCTCCCTTTTGCCTTTGGCTGAGTTGCTTTGAACTTCACCGATTCACCGTTCCTGGAATTTTTTTTTGGCCTTTTCTTTGCCTGAGGAAACAAATTTTCCTCTTTCGTACTGACATTTAAGAGACACCATATCTGGATGACACCTCTGCCTGTAAGTGGGGCACCAATCTTGTGATATGAAGATTCCGGAGGATGAGCAGCAACCGCAATAAACTAAAGCTCAATAGCCAAAAAAAATTCTTAAACATAATATTAAAGAAAGTAAATTAAGCTTGTTTGCAACCAAATACAAATCAAATAAAAGTATATTGCACGGAATCAATAAAAACACTACACCAAAGCATAACAATGGTAGATCCTTTGCAAAGGCATGTTCGTAGTGCAGCATGCTATAAAATCGAATCATTTAATCTGTGCATGTTAGGTGCAGTTTTTCTCATCAAATGTTATACTCAAATGTAAGAGAATTTCCTACCTTACTGCAATCCAGAGAAGAAATTCCTCAGTTGGTAATGTCATTGTGTCAACCACATAGTGCAAGAATTGTCTTTTGTATTTCCGGAAATAAAGAAAATGAGAATTGATTTGAAGTCCTAAAGCCACTTCAAGAGACTCATTTACTCCAAGAAATAAAGAACATGAGAATGGATTTTAGGCCTAAGGTCTTGTGGTTGAGATTATGGCATTGCCAAGAAAGGACTCTTGCCCCTATGTGATGCAGTAAAGTTATAAATATCTCTTATGGTTGAATGTAAGATTCATGGAAGATACCCATGAATACAAATTTAGGACTCTCAGGTATGCAAGTATCATGAATTATATCGGATTGTAGCCATTTAAATACTGGGTTTCCTTTCCAAAAATTTGATTGAATCGAGTCGAAACTCTGAAGTACTTTAGTATACAAGTTGTCTATACTAGATCGATTTAAACAAATTTTACAATATTTCAAATAAGTCATGATTTTGTTTCATTTATGGTGTTTTAAATTACAACCCAATGAAGCAAACATTAATAAAGAAATAGAGATGGAGGAGAGTGTCAAAAGAACTTCCATGCTTTCTGCTAATAATAAAAACAAACTATGAAGTGAAAAAATCACAGCACCATTTTTGCAGACAGAAAGACAAAAATCAAACTAATAGACAAATACCTCACTTTTAATGTGACATTCAGGCCTTTTATCAACTCTAGGACACCAATCCAATGCCCAAACAGGGCCTCCAACGTACATCACAAAGTCTTTGCTGCAAAAAAATCAAGATACAGTCCAAAATAGTGAAAGATACTTGCAAGTTTGTACTTGGATTTACTTGCAAAAGAACTCCTGAACAAATCAACTGCAATTCAAAACAAAACCATGAGAAACATCATCAACAAACATGCATACACACACACATCCATACAGAGAGAAAAAAAAAAGGACCCCCGGGGGGGATGAAGGAAGCCAATAATAGATACACAAGTAATATCCATGCATTCATCATTTAAAGAGAGCGACTGCACATTCAAACCAGCATGGTAACACAAAGAGTCCTCCAAAATCCTACCACAACTCACCTTCCTAGAGTCTTAAGAGAACAAAAATGGGATAGAATCTCAGAGCAAAATAGACAAAAGTTCTGTGAAATGAGGCCTACTCTGTATTGAAATGAAATAGGTGTCATCAAGGATCAAAATGTCGTGTCGACACGTCCGAAACGTTTCGGAATTTCAACACTCCGAAACGAAACAGTAGTTGAATCACAAAATTCCAGTGTTTCGGTTGAAACGGCACTGTTTCGGACCGTTTCGGTCGAAACAGTACTGTTTCGACAAAACAATGATATATTCGGTTCACTATGAATAATTACATTTAATACCCACTGTAATTACATTTAATACCCACTATAATTATATTTAAAACCCCATTATAATTACATTTAATTCCCACTGCTCTTCTGTCTTTTATAATTTTTTTGTTATAAGAATAAATAATTACACTTAATACCTTACTGTAATTATATTTAATACCCCACTGCTGTGCAAGTCTTTTGCTTTTTTTTTTTGGTTATAAGTATTAACAATTACATTTAATACCCACTGTAATTACATTTAATACCCACTGCAATTACATTTAATTTTTAAGTATACATAAGTACCATTAATTTAATTTGATACCCTTCATTATTAGTATTATAATAAAATAATATTATTAATTGGATAATATTACCGTAATAATATGAGTTGGAGTAACTATTGTCATTATATTTATGTCACATATGGAGTTTCTCTAAGTAGTTACCCAGAGCCTACATCGATGTATGAGCCTGCTCGACACTCTACAGGGGGATGGATGTAGCCATGTAAGTATGTATTCATTAGCATTTCATATGTATTATAAGACCTTAATATTATGTAAAAATGTGTTTATTTCATAAAAATTAAGTGTTTGAAACTAATTTAAGTGACTTTCGCCTCATGTCAAGTCTTTTTTTCCCTCAAATTTAAATTTATTCTTGTATAAATAGATGTTAACCCAATAAATATGTTGAATTAATCAATTATTTAGCATATCTTTATAAATTAATGGATTGTATTTGTGTTTCTATGCGTTTCCATATTTTTTCTGCGTTTCCGAAACGTTTTCATTTTTGAGCTGACCGAAACGGTACTTCGAAACGAAATTTCGATCCTTGGGTGTCATGCATTCATCTTCTAAACAATTTTGTGTTAATGTTTGGTTCATATTTAGCTGGTCGATTTGACTGTGACTAATATTACACGTTGCAATTACGGTATAGAGTGGTAAAGACAAAATTTAATAATGAGACAACATATTTTCAAGAACAGGCATGATTTCTACAACATAGCAAAAAATGTGTGATATTGGACAATTCCAATGTTGCAATAAATGAGATTGACAGATGTTGCCGATAACAAAAAGAAAAGAGGATCCAAAGGAATATTATTTGCATAATGTTAACAAAATGAAATATGATGACACTAAAATGAAAAGAGAAGGAAAAATAAACTTTTCAAATTGCATCTTGGGCCCACCAACTCAGGAGGAACTAACAAACTAAGAAGCATGAACACGGACACGGGACATGGATACGACATGACATAGACACACCAATACGACATTTCTCAAAAAAGTAGGATACAGACACGCTACAAAAAAATTATATTTTATATATAACATTATATAATATATTACAAATATAGTGATAATGACATATAATTCATAAAAAAATTAGTATTTTATGATAAGAAAACCTAATATCTAGTCATCTGTGTAAATTTTTAGACTAAAACATCCTCATTATAGTCAATAATCATATTTTTTTTTTGTAGATAATGTATACCTAATATATAATTTAAATAATTGTTCTCATTTTCTCAATTCCTCATTTTTAAAACTTTTATGCATATTTTATTTTTATTATTATATTTAGAGTACAATTTTAATATGTCTAGTATTAGTAATTATATGTTCTCAAATTTTTAATGTTTGTTAATCACATTTCAACAAATGTCTATTGTTTAGTAGTGGACACGTTTTAAAGAAGTGTCAAACACGTTTTAAAGAAGTGTCAGACACGTCACCAAAGAAGTGTCAAACACGTGTCTGAAATTAAAAATTTATCATTTAATTATGGACACGGATAAACGAGTATCAGACACGTGTACGAAAGTGTCCGAAGAGTGTCAGTGTCCGTACTTTTTAGCAAACAAAGTCTCTACAAGCAATAATAAGAAATGCCAACAAATTCCACCACCAACCAAGCAAGATGAAAGCTTTCACATCCTAACATTTTGCCATCTGGTCACCAAACAAATATTAGCTGGTAGTCAATAACTATTCATGTTTGTCCATCATTAGATCAGCCTGAAGTGAACTCAGGAAATAGCACAGCTAGAAGGTTGAGTTTTCATAGAGATCTTAAATTTTTTTTTCTAAATTCAATTTTTATATCAATTTAATTGAGTTCTGGTTCTGGGAATGAATGGTTTACAAGTTATGAATAATAATCTCTCCTTTTTTTTTGGATTATTGAAATGATAAAAAAAAATAGTACATGGTGTCATAGTTGTTAGTATTGTATGATACGCGATATGTATCGTATGATACATTACGATACACTTGAAAAATGATACGTATCGTATCTCTGTATTATTTTTGCACCGTATCATACGATACACGATATGATACGCTCGATACATGACGATTCTATTCTTTTATTTTTATTTTTTATTTTTTGGGATTAAAATGACATCGTTTTACCCTAAGACTTATTTTTAAATCACTAACTAGTGAAATAACGTCGTTTTAGTAGTTATAGTTTAAAAAAAAAAAATAAAGTCTAATGTTAATGTTGTTCAATTGAATTCAAAATTTCTAATTAATATTAAAGTTGTTCATGCAGTTGATGTTAGAAGTTTGAATTAGAGGTCTTTACATTTTGATATTATTGAACCATGTTGGAAACTTGAATAATTGTTGGAATATTAATGAAATACTATATTATTATGAGTCTATGACTTTTTTATAAAGGTATATACATATATTTTATTAATAATTATTTAAAAATTAAAATTGTGCGTATTTTACTATACACGATACGATACGATACATTATTTTTAAAAAACGATACGCCTTCTGATACACGATTTAACAACTATGCATGGCGCATAAGAGGACAAGAAGTCATCAATCTATATCTATACTATATCAATACTATTATGAAATGTCAACAAAAGTGAAAAACTTTTGTTTGACTATTATGTCCCTATTAAAATAATAAAAGACTCTTATATGCTTATGCATTTAATTATTCAATATTAATTAAATATTCAAATGACCTTTCATAATATTTTCATTTATTATTCCATGTGTTGTACATTTACTTATGTATCAGGTTAATGAATCATTATGTCTCCCATTTGTATAACCACTTCGTCACCAACTAATTTTTACTATTCTATTTCTATATCTATACTATATCTATAGCATTAATAAAAGAAGATAAAAAATCTTAAGTTTTGAATATATCCTTGATTTATTCTATAAAACTAATTTTATCTTTTATACAATTGTTGCAATAATTAATTAAGTTTTAGGACTTAAAAATTCGAGTGAGAATCTATTTATATCTAGCTATATCTAAATCTATACTACTCCTAAAAATGGCTTAACTCAAAAAAACTTTTACTTTCCATTTTTACCATCCAACAATTCTACAATATCTAACTGGATTTGTGTCTCACCAAATTTCAAAACATGGGGATTTGGTCTTCACACCACCATATCCGTTCCCATGTCCATTCCCTTTTGGTTTCCACTGACATCACAACAAAGCATTGCTTGAAATTTCAGTTTTGAGAGTGGAATTGGAAGTTGAAAAGATCCTATTCAAACATTAATTTGCATGCATTTTGGTTCATAAAGTAGGAATTTGAAAAGAAACGATACAAACAATCCATAAGGCAGATAACCATGGCCCAGTAACAATAGGTGTTCTACATTTTCTCTATTCCAATGTTATTCAATTTGTTATCTCTCTCTCAATTCTCATTTTACAATTGATATTGTCAACTTGTTTGTTACTTGATAAGGGACTGCAGCCAGCCTTTGGTTGGCCATATCTTGAAAGCAATGGATAAGGATTGCCATCCGAAGTGATCAGATAAATTAGATGAGGATAACCATATCAAGTGATTAGATTTTATTTTTTTTGGATCCTAGCTTATCCAACTCAATCAACAACTCAATAACTGTGTGAGCTTCTTTGCCTTCTTTATATCTATTATGTGTAGCTTGGTAATATAATCAATGAATTGTATTATTTTGGGATGTTGTAGTTTTTGATTATGCAATTGGTTATGTGTAGAAAAAAAAATACTATATGAGGATATTGAGAGAGAAATCTTCAAGAAATCATTACCAAGTATTTTAGAATTTTGTGTCAATTTTTTATAATATTGTGATTGCTCCCGCATACTGTTTATTCACAGGACTATTCCAATATTCACCAACTTGCCCAATATGATAGGCGATCATGGGATTTGCAATCCTCAAACGGGACAAGTGCAGCTCTCATATTCACCCAAATCACACAACAAATCTTTCTCACCACCTCTTATTTATCTAATCTCGTTGTGCGCAACTCTAGCACTCCTCAACTAGCCCATTGCACAATCCACACTTATTATAGTAACAGTGAACCTTAAAATTACATTCTTCTCTCTCTTCCTACAAGAAAAAAAAACTGGTGAAATTATCCTTATCACACTCTAGTACTCTTCACAACGTACCTTTGTTTACTTCATTCAATTTTGTGTTTCTTAT